CATTACTGGTTTCCATGAACTCAGGGTGTGATTTATGAAAGTACTGAACTTATATAATATAAGTCTGGGTTAGTAACATTTATTATTGGTAATTCCAATATTTATTTTATTTTGAGAATATATATAGAAAAATAAAAAGATGCAGAGCGTATAGTACAAGATGCATTTAGTGAAAGCACAGCTACTGCCTAGGGGTGATTTGGCTCATACAACATAAAAAACAGGCATGTTTGGGGGCCTGGGAGGCACAGGTGCAGTGTAATCCTACAACAGCCTGTCAAAATCAATGACAGGCTGGAATATCTTGCAGCTGTACGTGGTTGAATGTTCTTCCGAGCAGTACTTGCATGCAGTTCTAATAAATGACTTGATTTATTGGTCCACAGTAGTAAAGGTCCTTCCTCGATGGGAACCATTTGTTTATTAGTCCAACTGGAATTTATTACCCGGATGGGTTCACTTTAAGTAGTAAGGCTCTGCATGTTTATGACCAGCGAGTTCGTAAGGCAACGAGTCACGGATTTCCCTTGAGAAAGGTTCTTTACTATTGTGGACTAATGAAGCAAGTGTTTAAATGACTTTCAAAATGCTTAACAGGTTCACTTTAAGGCCTTGTGTCTTTTTCGTTATTAGTGAAGAAGCCTATTTTTGCCTTCCAGGAGCTGGACAGCTTAACCAGCAGCTGGAGAAAAGCGGAGGATCAAGACAGGACTTGGAGGATTTCTCGAAACAACTTAAAGTGTTTGAGAAGCAAGTGAAAGTCCTGAAACAGGAGAAGGAGGAGCTCAACAAGGTGAGTACCTACTGTGTCTGAATGATATAAAGGCTTGCTTTACTTTACGGTTTCTCTGAAATGTATGTATGTATGTATGTAAGAGGGGGCTAGGATTGAGCAGATGCTGGCGGCAAATTGTAAAATCCCAGCCCCACTTCTTTTTGGACAGGACAACCACTCGGCTGTTGTTGGGTTATACTCTCCACCATATCGTCATATTCCTGGCTAGAGGCCCGCTCATGACTGGCCAGAGGCCTTAATATTCAGAATGAAGGGATGTCCACACAAAAATTCAGTTTCAGCACTTTTATTGCAATGCACATCTTCACATTACTTCCCGTGACATATCACACTGACATACTGTCAGAAACGTTGGCACAGAATGCCACATGCAAGATTAGACAATCTGTAGCAGTTGTTTAAGCGCAGATTAATGTAGTCACGTAGGTCAGCATTCATTTATGATTGACACTGAATTAACATTGGGGGACATATTTTTATTTAAAGGGCTTGTCAAAAACTGCCTTTGTGTTTTTTTATTTACTTTTGACATTTTTTTCAGAGAATGAGCATGGGTACTAGGTACCCATACTCATTCACATAGGATAGGGCCCAGATTCCGCAAGTCACCCCCACAACCACTGGGCTAGGGTTGTGGGGAAGAGGCCCATGTCCTCATCAACATGGGGACAAGGTGCTTTGGGGGAGGGGGGGGAGCATGTTGAGGGCACATGGCTTGGTATAGTTCAGGGGAAGGGGCGCTTGCTCTCCCAACCCCCACCAACCTAATGGTCTTGTATGGATTTTGGGGGGGACCCCACGCCATTTATATTTAATTTTGGCGTGGTGTGGCATTTGGCATGTACATTCTGCTTTCAGTGGGGAATCTGGCTGACAGCAAATGAGTCATGGTTGTTAAGGATGCAGCAGCCGCCCACCCGCCCCTTAATTCAGATCATTTGTTATGTTAGCAAACAAATTTGAAAATTTAATTTATTTCTCCTTGGGCTTGAATGACTGTGGCATCATATGACGTCATCTGAATAAAACAAATGCATTCATTATTTTCGTTATAACATTTTTTTTGCATTCGTTGCCGTTTGTTTCTATGTCCATTCAGAAATTCGGAATACAAATGAGACTCCGAATATGACATTTTTGAAAAATTTTGGAAATTTTTTGAGAAACGATTTAAAAAACTTTTGAAATTTTTGTCTGAGAAACGAATCACAATGAAACAAATCGCACATGTCTACCCCCCACCCAGATGAGACTAAAATTGAACTTTTGTCGATCATGGGAAACACTGTGTTTGGGGCAAATCCAACACTTTCCATCACCCTTAGAACAGGCAGGGACTGGAAAACTGGTCAGGACTGAAGTAAAGAAGGATGCCACTAAATACAGGGCAGTTCTTGAAGAAAACCTGTCTCAGTCTGCCAGAGATTTAAGACTGGGATGGAGGTAAACCTTCCAGCAGGTCAGTGACAATAAACATACTGCTAAGGTTACACTGGAGTGGTTTAAAAGGAAACACAGGAAATGTCTTGGAAGGACTCGGTTAAAGCCCAGACCTTAATCCAATTGATAATCTGTTGCATGACTTGAAGGTTGTTGTACATCAACACAACCCATTTAACTTGAAGGAGCCGGAGTTTTGCCTTCGAAGAATGGGGAAAATCCCAGTAGCTAATAGAGGCATGCCTCAAGAGATTTTCAGCTGCAATGGCAGCAAATATTGGCTTTACAAAGTGTTGACTTGTGGAAAAGGGGGTGGGGGTGCAGACAGGGAAGCAAATGATCAAACACGATTTGACCCCTGATGTCTCCATAAAGAGTACCTGTCACCTGCCCAAAGTGATCATAAGGACGTTTGTTTGTCCCTTGTGATAGCAATAAAGTTAAATGAAAACAAATTGTAAAAGGTGTAAAAATAAATTTAAATAAATAAAAATTATAATCACAAAATGTAAAAATACCCCTTTGCAAATGCAAACATGCACGTAGGTCCAGCACGCATGATTAGCAATGATTGCACCACACATGTGAGGTATCAATGCAAATGTGGAGTGAGAGCTATAATTCTAAGGCCTTAATTTAAACTTTTAACTCGTAAAAGGCTTTTAAAGTCTAAGTTTAAAGTTTAGTTTGTTGCCATTTTATGGGCGTGCACAATTTTAAATCTTTACATGTTTGGTATCTATTTACTTGATTCAACATCATATTTTATATTTAAAAAAAAATAGGCATTATATTGTGTTTGTGTGCAGTAACATTATTTATTATTATTATACAGTATTTATAAAGCGCCAATAGTTCGCTCAGCGCTGTACATTACAAAGGGGGACAGAACATGTGACAGAACAATACCAATACAATGCAAAACATGAGGGGATTGAGGGCCCTGCTCTTTCGAGCTAACATTCATTTTTTTTTTCCCTAAAAATTTGCCTTTTGTTACTTGACTGTGCAAATATCCTGTGACATAGAAAATGCAACAGCTACCATTTTATTCCCCCAGATCCTCTGCTTTCAAAAATATGATTGTTGGGGTTGTAATGAATTTTCTGGCAGAAATGCTTATTTCAACATGTTCTAAAAAATAAAAAAAGGTCAACTTGTGGTTGAACTTGATGGACTTTGTCTTTTTTCAGACAGACTAACTATGTAACTTGCATAAAATTCTTAATTTACTTAGATAGAGCTGATAAGGATTAGTGCAGGGGTCAGTTCTACCACTGCATCATGGGAGTTTTTTTTTATCCTGATTTAGACCTCTGCTACTAAATGGTGAAGAGGAGGAAAGACTGTAAATTGGAACTGAGTTTCAAAATTTCTACATGGGTTCTGGCAGTTAGAGGCAAGAAAGAAGCAGAATCAGTAATAGTTTTCACATTGACTTTTGTTTTTTTCACATAATTTTAGTGAACACAAAGTGAATTTATATGCTTTGTGCCTGCTGTGGAATGCATTGTGTATGTATAGGGGAAATTCCCTTTCACTTCCCCTCCCAACAGGAAATGAGAGAATATCTCTCAAAGTGAAGGAAGTTATCCTCTTGTACAAATGTCCCTGGAATGGGTGTCCCTATTGGAAGATTTTTTTCTCACTTTATGTTTTAAGGACAACTCTTAAATTTAAATTTCCCCAACAGATTGAGTGGTAATTCTTCTAGGGCATAGAGCCTATCCCTTTCCCAACCCCATCCAAAAAAAAAAGTTTTGTCTAGAGATATACACTATTTTGGCAAAAGTATTGGCATTCCTGCCTTTACACGCACATCAACTTTAATGGCATCCCAGTCTTAGTCTATAGGGTTCAGTATTGAGTTGGCCCACCCTTTGCAGCTATAACAGTCTCAACTCTTCTGGGAAGGCTGTCCACAAGGTTTAGGAGTGTGTCTATGGGAATGTTTGACCATTCTTCCAGAAGCGCATTTGTGAGCGCATGTTGGATGAAAAAGGCTTGGCTCGCAGTCTCCGCTCTAATTCATCCCAAAGGTGTTCTGTCAGGTTGAGGTCAGTACTGTGCAGGCCAATCAAGTTCCTCCACCCTAAAGTCGCTCATCCATGTCTTTATAGACCTAGGTTTGTGCACTGGTGTGCAGTCATGTTGGAACAGATAGGGGCCATCCCCAAACTGTTCCCACAAAGTTGGAAGCATGAAATTGTCCAAAATGTCTTGGTATGCTGACGCCTTAAGAGTTTCCAATTACCAATTGAAAGGCCAAGATTCAGCAGAACAAAAAAAGCTTCACCGTTTCAGTGGTTCAGACATATTCCCTTTTATCAGGGCTTTAATATTATGTAAATTTGGTTGAGATACTGGATTTGGCTAGACTAATAGGATTATAATAATGTATGTATGTGATCAGGTTCTAGTACCAGCAGTTTGTAGAGCACTGTCTTGATTTAAGTCAAATAATTTTAAGTCCTGAAGAAGGATTGTCTGAAATCCCCAAAATGTGATGGCTTTCTTCTGTTCTACCGATTATCTAATAATTACATAGTTGGACTTCTCTCAAGACATCCCCACCCATTTGGGGGTGTTCTGATACACTGAGCAGCTGCACCAAAGTGATCTAGCCTGATTCATGATCTTCCTGTCATGACATTTTGATGTTTTCACTTTTGTTTAGGAGCTGACAGAGTCCAGTGAGAAGCTGAAGTCCCAAACCAAAGATCTGAAGGAAGCCCAGAGTCAGCAGAAGCAGACTGTACAGGAGATGAAGGAGCTGAGTGAGAGATTGACGGAACTGCGGTCTCAGAAGCAGAAGTTTGTCCGCCAGCTCCGAGACAAGGAAGAGGAAATGGAGAGTGTGGCGCAAAAGGTGGAGGCATTGCGACAAGAACTGCGGAAGATGGAACGGGCCAAGAAGGAGGTTAGTGTATTGGATGATGCATGCTGGAAATTAGGACATGGTACAACTGGTCTCAAATGCAAATGTGCCTAAATGAAGAGATGTTGTCGTTGACCATAACAACCAATCTGATTGTCTTAGAGCTGATTCACACATGTGCAGTGCAAATTGAAGCTCAGGTTTCACAGCTAATTGATACAGTAGTTTTTCAGCGGTTCATGTCAAGTTTACAGTCAGGTCCATAAATATTGGGACATGGACACAATTCTAACATTTTTGGCTCTATACACCACCACAATGGATTTGAAATGAAACGAACAAGATGTGCTTTAACTGCAGACTGTCAGCTTTAATTTGAGGGTATTTACATCCAAATCAGGTGAACGGTGTAGGTTGTTATTCTAATTATTAGTTGTAGTATTAGTGTGTTTTGAAAGCGAGATAAACCCATTCACTAAAATCAAAAATAAACCTTAATGTTAATGTAATTCCAAAAGTTGTTTCAGCCATTTTAAATCTGCTTTTATTAAAAGATAAAAATGGTGATCCTGCCACAAAGGTCTTTGTCCAGGCATTTCCTGTTATGGGTGACAACTGTCTCCCAGTTCTGCTACTGGAATGTTTCCCTGTGACATACACCCCTGGTTGAGACTTCACCATCAGAAACAATTGTAGAATTTGGATCTCCCCCCACTGTTTGTCCAGTGACAATGGTCACCATTACAGGAAGTTAGCGGAAATCTCCCAGGTAGGTACAATGATGACAGTAAAAACCTGAGAGGGGTTGTAGCCTATTTCCACTCTGTGGTTGGAACATATATCCAGTAGAAGTGGTTAGTTGGTCAACACTTAGTGAATTTTAGCATTCTTTAAGTATAGATCTATACTCAGAAAAATAGGTTAGTGGACTACTTTTCTGTCCTTACTATTCTGTGTTTCCCACTGAATAAAAAAAGAAAAAGGATTGCCTTTAGTTATAGTTTAAAGGGTAACTCCACTTTCATGGGAAAAATAATTCGCAAATAAAAAAATATAATATAGCTCATACAATTGCGACTTAAGTCATATTGTAATTGAATGTTATTACAAATTACTGTACCTTTCCTTTTCTATCTGCAGCGCTGTTTTTTTCTGTAAAACGCAGTGCAATATGGCTACCTGGAGGTGTTTTTTACACAGATGGTGTACAAAACACCCCTCAGAAATGTAATTTCCTGCTTGTGTAATTGGCTCGCTGATTTTCCCAGAAGTGTGTACTAAGATATGTCAGATTTTTTGCTTCCCCTGCAACAAAAATGTCTTTTTTGGTGAGATACTCCCAAATGGAAATCACATCTAAAGTAATGCCTGCAAGTGCAGCATCTGATAGATGATTGTAAAACCACTCCCATACAGATTCACTCTGCACACGAACACAGACAAACAGCTATTTCTTGTGAATAACAGAAGGTTGGAAGTTGCAATGTACATAGATCACCCAGAGGGGAATGTTTTTTTCTCAACAGAAGTGGAGTTACTCTTTAAAACTGAAGTTTAATCTGTTTATATTTTGCCTTCCCTGGTTCCTCCTTTCCCTCCTTATTAACATGCTAATTAAATTCTGAAATAAAACATTTCCATTACCTACCTTATTTTAGATCCAATAATATAATCACTAAGTCTCTGTGCATCCCTATGCATTGCAGACAGATCATGGTTGGTGGGAGGGGCTAGTAGGGTACTGTACATAGCTTTCTGAAAACATTACAGCAATCTGCCTCAGGGCTCCTATCGTCTTCTTCAGTCCTGCTGCAGTTAATGGGCTGTATTTTGAGAGGAGTTATGCAAATATCAAAAAACCTTGATAGGTGGAGCTCAATCTGGAAGAGTTGGTGTTCCTAGGCAAATTGTATTTGCATGCAGGCAACCCACGTCCGCATGATGCTGAGACTATAATTGAAAGACATCAAATGAAAGGCGTGGGTCAGGAATAGTATAGCTGGGGAGGAAAGGCTAGTTAATGCTGGACATCCTCCAGTCAAGAAGTGAGGCAGGGTCTGTTTTATTTGTTTCAGCTTCTAATGCAAATTATAAGAAGCTCACAGTGTGCAGTGAAATCAGAGCAAGCAATTTCAATGCAGGAAAGAAGCCTGTACAACTGTGCAGGACGAAAGGGAAGGTTGGTTTTACCATGTCCTTTTATTTCACTGGTCCTATATTTTGCATGGACTGGCTCGTCTGATCCTCCTGTGTCCTATCCATGCCTCTCGATTGAACTGAATGTATGTTCTCTCTTCTAGATCGAAGCCCAGGCTGAAGCTGCAGCGGCTGAAGCCTCCAAGGACAGAAAATTGCGCGAACGAAGCGAGCAATATGCCAAACAACTAGAGAATGAGCTGGAGGGTCTCAAAGTAAGTCCAGGACAATACTTCTGCATACATCTCTGATCATTTGTCTGGCTTTTCCAGTCCAGGTACACGTACAAACCTTTTGAGCCAGCTGCCATTTCCACTGTCACTGAGCCACCCATATTGGATTGAAGCAGCTTGAACTCATTAGTGGGACTCATGCTGTTGTGAAGGAACAAACCAATCTATGATTTTGAATTTAAAAACAAATTTGAAATATAAATATATTGCTAAATCTTGCTGATTTCCTTCGAAGACTGTGTGTGTTAGAATATAGCCATCTTCTGAAATTCAAATTTAAAAAAGAGTAGAAAAAAATTAGAATAGAAAAGAATAGACTACAATAGAATAGCTCTCTTTCAAATTTCGAAAAGTATAGAATAAAGCAGAATAGAATAGAGCATAAAAGAATAGAATAGACTAAAATAGAATATAGTTGTCTTTCAAATTTCGAAAAGTGGTGAATAAAGCAGAATAAAATAGAAAGTAAAAGAATAGAATAAAATAGAATAGAAAATAACATAATAGAATAAATTAAAATAAAATAGAAAAGAACAGAATAGGAAATAGAATAAAAAATAGAATAAAATAGAATACTAGAAAAGCTACAATTTCTGGGGAAATTGTGTGAAGTGTTCTTGCCTCCACCAGTAGTCTACAACTGGAGTGGGCGGAGTAACTGGGTGGAGTTGCTTGTCACTCTGCTGCCTGCTCACACACCTGGGTTCCTATGGCAACTCACTCTACAGCAAGGGCAGAGAAGAGCGGTTAAAAACAAACTGCTCCAACTTGCTCACTTCACTGGCAGTTGCCACCTTCAAACGATTGTAGTTTACAAATTATACATCCTACTGAAGAGCTTTATATTGTGAGAATCACAAGACCCAGACCTACATTTTGGTGCATAGTATGTCTCTGAAATATTAAAAAATGAAGGCACAGTTGCAGTTTAAAAATTGCCCTTCAAATTTGAGGTGGCTAGAGTGGAGTTTCGATGAATGTCACTGGGCGGCGTGAGTTGCAAACAAATGGTCATATTGTGAAAACTATCAGGACTATGGCTTAGCCGTGGACATTGTTAGTGGCAGCAGGGATAGCTGAACATTTGATATAAGATTTGTGTAGGTGGGCTTGAAAATGAGGGAGTGATGGCAGTTTAGAAATCATGTCCTGATTTTTCAGCTCACACTCTAGCTTTTGTCAGCTCCCACTCTAGTTTTGAACATTCTGCCATTCATTCCTATGGGACCAATTTCACCACAAAAACGCCGTAATTTCGTGAACCATTCGGCGAAATGTTCCAAAGTAATAGCACACCAATCCGGAACAATCCGCACGTTTCGGTATATTACTGTCTATGTAGTGTAAAAACTGTGGGAAGCGTTAGGGTGGTAAATTTGGCTATAATAATAAGAATATATATGTGAGATAACAGTAAGTGGTCTTGCCATGCAAGAACATGTAATAACCATCTTCCAAAAGTTTAATAGAATAGAACCAGCTATTGGCCCAATGAATTTGGATCGATTCAAAGTTTTAGATTTGAATTCAGTTTGAATCCACTGGAAACATTTTAATCCAGTCAAAAATGAATAAATGGAACAAAATGAAATGAAATGAATATCATTATGCAAGAAAACAAAATTAGTATGTTTATGAATCGATACGAAACAATATGTAACCCCAGCAACATTTCAAGCATCCCTACCCTTTGTCAGGCTAATCACACCATACGATCATGTACTATATAATACATGAACTCAGAAATGATGAAAAGAGACACAAAGTATTCATTCAATACAAGATATATACAAAGTACCAACATTATGCTGCATGTGTGACTACTGATACAGATTCAGGCTCAGTTCACAATACTGTGATGTGATTCTGACGCAATTTTCAGTGCAATTATGTAGTGCAACTTTGATGTGACTTTGGTTGCATTTTGAATGTGGTTTGCATATTCTACTAGACTAAATTGCACCATAGTAGTTGATTCCGTGCAACTAAATTCGTATCTGAAATCGCACTAGTGTGAATGGAACCTTAATCAGGTATCTCTTAATCCAGAGGAAGATCTGTAATATGACATTTTAAGAAACAGATATCAAACAAAATCATGGTTGAGGCCATGCAATGACAGAGTATCCATTTCAGGAATCCAGTAAACTTCTTTCCTTTTCAAAGCAGTAATGAGATCACCTCTTCATCTCAGCTTACCATAAATTCAGGATCAGTGTCCTTTTGTCCTACTTCCCAAAAACGTTTGGGTACAGGAAGGTCAAGCTGTTTGGTTCTGATGGAAGATCTATGTTATGACATGTTGTCTCTAATCTTCTGGGTGGTCTTCTCACCAAGTTGCAGGGGCATCTCAATAAATAGACATAAGTACTCTAGACTCCACTGGAGTGGAAAAAATTATCACCCTTAATTACGGTGATTTAAGAGCACCTTTAGTGCTTCTAAAGTCTTAAGGGTTTTTTTTTTTACCTTAATGCATCCTATCCAGTATTCTTTCCAGGATCAGCTCCCCCCTAAGTACTACCTGTGTCTTGTATTGATCCAGCACTTTGCCCATCTGCAGCATTTGTGGTTGTCAATCAATTCCTACTAGGAGGTTGCAGGGGCTGGGGTTGAACTATGCAATATGTGTCTATGGTGTATTTCGTATGTCAAAGCTGAGGGCTAATCATTTCTACTTTACCT